CGCAAATGGCTACCATATTGAAAAATATACTATTTTTGTATGATAATTATGGGTTTTGTATTTTATTTTAATAGAAGTTGATGTTGCTTTTGCAATTATCCATCAATTTTTTAAAATTAAACACTATCTACAGATTTGCATCGAAGCGTTTCTTATGATAGTGATTTTAATCACTGTCAGATTAAATCTATACTGGACCCTACTATGCAATGTCTCTACTATGCCGCGACCCCACTGTGCTACCGTTTATTATTTTGTATTGTTAAAATATTTAATTCTAAAATGTTTTAATATTCTGAAATTAGACAATCAGTTGCATCAGTTGTTCGTTGACGACATAGTGTTAAAATTAACAGTACGCTATTTTTGTATAAAAATTCTCGATTTTATTTTTTACATTTTTAACTTTATAATGCTACAACTTATTGAAAAGTGTATGGATCAACACAATTTTTTATTAGTAATTATATATTTATATACATCTTTCATTTGACATACTTTATTTTTAAAACGGACGATTTCCCTTTATACAGGAGGGGTTAAAAACAAAAAAAATGCTTATAGAAAGTAAAACTATTTCAACTTAACTTTTGAAAGTGTTCCAGAAATCCTGACACTATTATATACAGGGTGATTCATTAAGGATAAGACACTCATTTTCTCAATAACTATTGAATATATTAAATTTTTGATAAAGAAAATATTGTTTAATTAAAAAAACACTACAATAATATGTAGTAAAATCATAATTTTTTTCATCCCTTCAAGGTTAAAAAACATTAACTTGAATTTTCTTAAATGGGAACCCATATTTTGAATTTTTTTATGATTTAAAATAAAAATATAAAAAACTTTGCTCTTTTTCGATCAACTGTTCCTCTGTTACAGCTTGTTAAAGTTAAATGATTTTGAACTAAATTTCTATTATTATTTTACTTTTTTGAATACAGAAGTCACTATTTTTAATATAAACTAATTTTTATTAACCAAGATATGACATGTAAGATAGCAATTATAATTTACGACACATCAATTGAGAGATAATAGTAATAAATTCAAATCGGGCCTTAACTATATTATTAATAGCACAGTCTATTGGTTTGTATGACAAACTGTAATACCGAAGAATCAATTTTTTTGAAAAACCCAACTCTATAGTGACTCTTAAAATAATCGAATACTACTATAATGTTTTCGTAAACATTGCTTACACAAAGTAATCTTTATTTTTGTTTTTCAAAATTACCGAGAAAATGAGTGTCTTATCCTTAATGAATTACTCTGTATACCTTAAAATAAAGCTTATGTAATATATTTTACTATGAAAACAAAATTTTAGACTTTATTTTGTTTTCATGGTGAAGACGGACATCAAATTTTATAATAAAATACGATTTTTGTAAAAAAAATTCTTATCTATATTTTTAACTATATAACGCTATAACTTTTTGAAAAATGTATGGATCATTATAATTTTTTTAAGATAAGTACTATTTATATTTTTCTTTTGTGCAACATACTTTTTTTTTAATAATATTCTTTTCCTTTGTATATTATAAATATATATATATAATCATATATTATACTTATAAATCATAAAACTTGTAATCGGAATATAAATAAGGAAATAGGAAATTATGTAGCTTTTGGAATAATCCACCAATTTTTTAAGATTAAACACTATCTACAGATATGCATCGAAGCGTTTTTTGAGATAGTGATTTTAATCATTATCAGATATCATCTATACTGGACCTAACTATACCACGTCCCCACTGTGCCGCGACCTCACTAAGCTGAGTTTTTTTTAACTTACAGTTATTAAAACTTAGTTTACAAAAATACACCCAAAGTATTTATAATTTTACCTACTATGTACATTTATATTAAATATTTTATATATATATATATATACATATATTTACTATTGAATTCCACAGAATCATTTAATTTCAATAATGCAATGTCGTTAAAAAAATTTGCTGAATTGTATAACTCATGATGGATTATATCATCAACCAATACATCAATAGGATCAGATGAATCATTAATTTCGGGATCCAAATTTAAATCTCCTAAGCGGATCACTGATCTATTAAAAATAACATTTTCTACAATAACTTGAATTAAAAACTTTCAAGTTTATTTAAATAAACAAAATATTAGAAATTAAATGTTTACATTTACATATTTTGCTCTAAAATACTTTGTTCCAAATGTAAAAAAAATCTTGACCATAAGTTGGTCTAGTTAGTTCATTTCACTACACTACTTTATATTATTTTTTGTTTTCGAAAAATATTACCATACCTTGATAATTTCTAATTTTTTTAACTTACAATTTTCTTTTGCCAATATTTACAGTGCAATGAGCAGCTGTAAGAACATATTTTCGTGATACTAAAGCACCACCACACATCCATTTTGGACTCATTGATGGTTTATCAATATCACGATATCCAATAGCTGCAATCCATGGCCAATCACCTGAAATAAATAGATTAAGAATAAAATAACTATTTTAGTCTTAGAATATGAGTTTCACCTAAAGAGGCAGGAACTCCGCCAACGATTCTACTAATGGTGCGTTCATCACTGTGACCACATGTACTATCTAATGACTCATTGGGAAATAATAGCATTGAATTATTAGAAGGATTCTTTGGTTTAATTGTTGTCACTGTATCACTGTTATTATGTACGTAAATGTTTTGACTACTAATTATTTCTTCTGTATTTTTTGATGGTTCTATTTTAATAGGGCAACAAACTTTTGGGTCCTTATTTTCGTATCCACATGTGGAATTCCGAAGAAAAGTAATAACTGATGTATTATTTTTCTCCCTAAGAAGGTGAATTAATGATGGACAACGTTTTATATTGATACATTCTCCTGCTTCTTTTGTAGGTGTCATACAAGCTGCAAACAGATGAAATATATAATTTTAATTTAGGTAGAAGGGTTGAAAAAAGAAGGAAAATCATCTGAAACCAAAATTTTATGTGTGCAATTGTATAAATGACGACCCTATGTAATGTCGATGATATAGAAATATTTTATATGTTTATTAACTTTTATAACTTAATCTTCTTCTTTTATATTAAATCCTGCGATTAATTTATAGCAATTTTCCACTTTTTCCTATTAATAACTCTTCCCTAACTTAATGTATTAGCTACGATGCGAAGCTGAGAAGGTATTGGTTTTACTAAGATGTGTTTTTTTTTTTTTGTGTCTGTTACCACTTTTTCTCAGCTCTCACCGAACCAATTTCTTTCAATGATACGTCAAAAGATCACAAATCGTATCTAGTCGAAAACATTACCCTTAAAAATTGAAAAAAATGCCCTCGTTCCCCGTAAATGGGGGAAACCTCCAAAAAAATTACAAATTTAAAAATCGCTAATTTTCGAAAATTTTTCAATTTTTTTTACTTAAAAGTGCTATAACTTTTTCAAAAATGAACATATCAATATAATTCTTTTTTATATAGATGTGTAATATCATTACCTTTTGTTTGGTATATTTTTTTCATAAATTTAACCCTTAACCTGCCCACAAGGGGGGATTTAAAATGACAACTTTTTCACAAAAAATTAACTTTTTCAACTTAAATTTTGAAAGTGTTCCGGAAAGTCTGACACTTTTATATATATCTTAAATTAAAGCTAATGTAATTTACTTTATTATGCGAAAAAAAAATTTCGGACTTTATTTTATCTTCACGGTGAAAATGGCTACCGAATGCTATTATTGTGTGAAAATTCTCGATTTTATTTTTTACATTTTTAACTTTATAATGCTATGACATATTGAAAAGTGTATGGATCAACATTATTTTTTTATGAGAAATAATATTTTTTAATAATCCCTTTTTCATTCTACATACTTTATCTTAATTAGGATATTAATAATGAACTAGCAGATAATGTAGCTTTTGGAATAGTCCACCAATTTTTTAAAATTAAACAGTATCTAAAGATTTGCATCGAAGCGTTTTTTTTTTATAGTGATTTTAATCACTGTCAGATATCATTATACTTGATCCATCTATACCACGTCACCACTGTGCCGCGACCCCCCTGTGCTGGGTTTTTCATATTTAAAGTATTTTTGAAAAAAAAGTTTTAGAAGTTATAAAATTTTCAAACGCTCTTCAAGAAAATAAAAAAATCTATGTTTAATTGTTTTACAGATATATAGAGTGTTCAGTAAGCAAGAAAAAAGTTCTTGTTAAGGTTCTCATTGTTCATAAAAATTGACCCATTTTCTTATTTTTTGATCATCCTATAGAACACTGAATGTGAGAGAAACTAAAATTGTAAAAACTCAAAACTAAGATTTGTAAGGCAATATTTTTTAAAATAATGGAGTATTAATGAATAAATTTTCATACTAAATGCTGTGTAAGAACAGAATTTTTATTGAAATATTGAACGTTTTACTTTTTAATTAAAAAAAGAGATAATTTGGTTTACGCTCTTTTAACACTAAAATTAATACATTCTTACCTTTATTTTGAAACTAAACATTCATGATTTTAAGAAGACTCATTTACTTTGGTTACACACTTAAAAACTATTTAAATAAATAACAATACCAATCCATTATTTATTTAATTTCCAATATATACTAACTTTTTGTAATTATTACAATACATAAAAAACAGTTAAGTCTAATCTTTAGAGTTTATTTGTTTAAAGTATAAATTAAAGTTTATTACAGAAAATATGTATTTAAATATACTTACCATAACTTGTTCCATTGAGGTAAAGTATTAGGAAAATGATAAACTGTTCACTTTTCATACTTAAAAAATTATACATGCAAATATTACAACCAAATCTAAACCGCGAGCGAAATAAAAAATAATTTGATGTCTTTAATTTTTGATATTATTTATAATCACTCATTTATTTAAAATATAAATTAAGCTTAAAATTCGCAATTGCACTTTAATGACATAATTTTTAATTAATTTAAACTACATATGTCAAAACTACATCAGAAATAAAATTAATGATAATATGATTACGTTGTTTATGTGCTAACTAATAAGATAGAAATAAAATAGATATAGAACTAAATGACAAGACCGCTAATAAATATATACTTCTGGTAGGCCAAATGATATACCCCATAGAAACTGAAATTTACCCAATGTGATTATTAAGAGTATAGCATGACCGTCATTTACAAATACAAACGATAATGAATAAAACGCAAAACTAACATGAAAAAACCATCCAAAATAACGGGAAAATTCACTTCCTGCAAATGGCCTTGCAAAATCATATGGAAATAAGTTCATCACATGTAGTGATACCTTCAGTAAATAGTTTTGTATGCAAAACAGAGTAATGATCAAAATGGAAGGATGCAAACGTGTGATGTTCAATAAAAATATTTGAAAACACATGATCGTGTATCAAACTGTTATCGAAAGCCGACCATACCATATTTACTAATCTATAGTAGTACAAGTACTTTTGTTAATTAAAACAATCCTAACAATAGGTTAAAGTTCGTAAAGTAAGTAGATGTTAATTATAATTAAGACAAGATGGTTCTTGGTGTCAATATTTCACACCAATGACCAATCCAGAAATATTTTCCAGAGTTATACTACGTAAAATCATATTAAATTAAACATTTTTTTGAGTAAAGTTATTGTTTAAAAACATCTTTTTTGTTACAATTCTTAATTTATCTAATGATTTATAAGAAATAGCTATTTTTTATTTAAATAATACTGAGTCTATCTAGCCTAGTGATATAACTTCAACCATTAATTAACGTATACTAGAATGTTGATCAGCCAGACAAATACCAAACGAGAATACTTTGAGTATTTTGCGTTTTAGGAAATATTCACAAGAATTCTCCTGTCGTTAAATTTACTCGTAACTAGTTATATAAAATACCTCATGATGTACAAATTAATAAAATTTTATTATTATTTTTCTTTTGCATATTAAGGAAAATTATTGGATTTTAAATTCGATATGAATCTGAAAAGATAGTACTTTTAGTATGATAAATTTTCTGTCTGTCGAAACTGACACTTGGCTCCAAGTGGACTAATATTGCTCAAACGTACTTAAAGCTGGTTCTTTAATTGTGCTTCCTTTGCTGAAGATTTTTATCATTTTATTATCATATCAATGTTATTGACATTGTTAATAATTATAATGATAAAAATAGTAAAATTAATGCTAGCTTATCAATAAATCGAAACTAAAAAACATATTTTTGTTATTTTAACTAACTTCAAATTAACTAATTAAATTTCTAAATTTATTATTTTACCTAGTATCTTAATAATTAATTTTTTTTAAGGTTGTTATGGCAAAAACATTATACTTCATCATATTGTTTGTGTTGACATATGTAATAGCTCAGTCAAGAAATAAAAGTGAGTACATTTATGTATAAATAAGTATATTAACATTATAATAAAATGTCTTTTTTTTTTAATTCGCGCAATCACAGACTATTCGTTAAAATTATTTTTTTTAAAACTATTTTAGGCTTTATCTTCTAGGTTTATTTTTGTTAAAAAATAATTAAATGAAAATAAATCTATATACATTATTAATATAAAAACAATAGTTAAAACAATTACCTATAGTTTGATCTTAAATAGATATTTTCATTTTTAGAATAAAAACGATTAAAATATGATAATTTATAACGTGTTCGATATAGTACAAATAATTTATATTTTTATTATTTTAATATTATTAAAAATAAATCGACCTTTACTTTAACTCGCTTTGCATTTATACAACGTTCGATCATGATCTGTAAATTTTTCACCTATTTCCCAAGACTCGCGAGGTTATCAATGTGTAGAAATCTTATTTTTCATAATCAATGCGTAATAATGTTTTTTACAAAAACGTAAAATAAAGTTTTGTGAAACACATTACTTACTGTGTACAAAAGATCAAGGCTGTATTTTAAAAGAATGGTGATGTAAAATCTCCTACAAAATTGCTTAAATTAATAGTTGGAAATTTCTTCAGTTTAGTCCCAGTTGATAGAATTACAAAAAAGTTATAAACCTTATAATCTGAAACTGCAAAAGTTATTTATAAATATAGTGACGCAAAGTATTTGATGGATCAATAGTAATAAAAGATGTCAAAACTTGATAAGACACTCTGTATATGTTATAAAAAGTAATATGTTATATTAAAAATACGATATAATTATAAATATCGTTGAAAATTTCAAATTTCAATTAATCTTTGATAAACAAAACTAAATTGTATCCTTTTTTTTAAGATACTTGTTTAAATGCATACGGAGAAGATGGGATTTGTATAAATATTAAAAATTGTCCATCAATGTTATCAATACTTGAAAACGATGTAAAAAATGAAGATGGTAATAAAAATAATAGTGCAGCAGATTTTCTTAGAAAATCTATGTGTGGAAACGAAGGCAAAGACCCAAAAGTTTGCTGCTCAATAAAACCAACAACATTTAACAGTAGAAAAAAGAATGATTCGTTGAGTTCTCAAAGCTCTGATTCAACGTATTCTAATTTACCGTTACCAGATACGTGTGGTATCAATAATGTCACCACAACGAAAATTATTGGTGGATCACCAGCTGAGCTAGGTTAGTTACTATTAAATTCAGTGGTCGGATAAACATTTTTTTTCATTCGATGTTTAAATATATTATAAACAGGTCTATACTTACAGCGTCTATTTATCGTGTTTGAAATATAATTTAGTACAATGGCGTGGGTGTTTAGGTCATGTTATGACGATTTCAAATACGCAGTTTAAAACTGTTTTTTTCTTAATTTTTTATGATTGTATTACAAAATTCTTATTTTTGCTTTTAAAGATTTTCGTTTTTTTGAAAATCTTTTCATAAAACTTGTTTTTTAATATAATTCTTCTTCTTATTCTTTCTCGCCTTAATCCCAACTACTTGGGGTCGGCCAACCTTATTCTAAACTTCCACTTGACACGATCTCCCACATCATTTACGCTCACATCAGCTGTCCTTAAATCGCATTCAATAGCATCCCTCCATCTCTTTTTTGGTCTTTCTCTATCTCTTCTTCCTTCAACATTCATTTCTATAACTGTTTTTACAGCTTCCGATTCTTCTCTTCCCATAACATGACCAAACCATCTAAGTCTATTTTCTCTCATCTTATCCATGATTGACGCTACACCTATACTCCCTCTTATATGCTCGTTCCTTATTCTATCTTTTCTAGTCACTCCACTCATCCATCTAAGCATTCTCATCTTTGGTACACTCATTCTCTGCTCTACTTTTTTATCAACCGTCCAACACTCTGAATCATACATCATATCTGGCCTTATTACAGTCTTGTAGAATTTACCTTTCAGCCTCATTGGAATTTTTTTATCGCATAAGACGCCAGATGCTTCTTTCTACTTCAACCACCCACACTTAATTCTGTATCTTACATCCTCGTCAATACCACCACTCTTTTACACAACTGACCCTAAATACTTAAAACTCTTCATCTCTCCAATCAATTCCTCGCCTATTGTCACTGACTTCCTCATTTCACCTACCTCGTGTTCTCCTTTGTCAAACTCGTACTCTATATACTTTGTCTTACTTCTACTTATTCTTAAAGCCTTTTCTTCAAGAGCTGATCTCCACACCTCTAGCCTTTGATTAATTTCCTCTCTATTTTCTCCTAATAACACTATATCGTCAGCAAACAACATGCACCACGGCACCTCTCCTTGTATTTTTCTAGTAATTTCATCCATCACTATAGAGAATAAGTAAGAGCTTAAAGCAGAACCTTGGTGCACTCCTACTCATACCCGAAAACCTTTTGATATTCCTCCTACGCTTTTTACCCTGGTACAAGTGCCATCATACATATCTTCTATTATATTAATGTACCTTTTCGGGACATAATTAAATTTTTTGATTTAATTAAATTTAAAAATAATTATATTGCCTTATTAGTGCTACTTTACCTACACGTATTATTGTTGCGTTGACTATCATAGTCCGCAACAATGTGAGGTAATAAAAATTTGTCGATGGTCAAATTAAAATTAGATTATATTCATGTAACACGAAATTAACAAAAAATAAATTCAATTATGGTATTTTTTTTTTTTTGTGATTTTTATAATTTATAAATGCTTATTATACGTGCTAATAGTTATGTTTTTAAACGCTGTTTAAAATGCTTATTTTAACCATTTTAATTGCTATAAGTTTGCTTTATAACGTTATCTTATGACTAAGTATAATGTTATTCAACATTTAAATGTTATACATTTTTATTTTAACGTTTTTGAAATTGAAATATTGTTCAATTAAAGTTTTAACGATACTACATTTTTACGTTAAGGGTGCAAAACATAAATCACTGTTATAAGTAATTTATAAATAAGGGATAAAAGACAACTTTTTTTCATAGAATTTTTCTAAATATAAAATTTGAAAAAAAAAGAGTTTTATATTAATAAGAATTTATTTCGTTGTAATTAATATTAGATGTAACGATATTTTGCTTTATTGACATCACAAATATTAAGATTTTTGATTACGATTTGACAACATTTTTCATTTAAACGTTATTAGTATAACATTTTCTGTCCTGATTAAATTGATTATACCTACTAATGCCTCGTAATATCTCATAGGTGTCTCTAATAAATTGTTTACATTAATAACTTATATTGCATGAAAAAATTTAATAAAAATAAAAGTTATAGTTAGAGAGGAGCCTATTAATGATCATAAACATATAAATAGTCAGTTTGTTCAGCTAACGAGGTATTGCGATTATTTAGACACTGACTGTATTAACAATAAATATAAATTATTTATTGTTATTTATGAAACTGTTATTATCAGTATCATGCCTTAACTATGGCTTTGACACTAATAAAAAAATGTCTAGAATCATATTGGAAATTTTAGATAATTGGCCATGGATGGTTGCCTTAGGTTACCACAGAATTAACCAACCCAGAACAGATACACCAGAATGGAATTGTGGTGGTACTTTGATTTCTGACAGATACGTAGTTACGGCAACTCACTGTATAGTTACCTACAGAGTACTGTAAGTGTTATTCAATTAAGCTATTTATTGGAATTTCAACAAAATACACTAAAAAGAAAACTCATGCAGTTTTTTGTTTCAAAAGAACTACGGCTCGATTAGGCGATTTAGACTTGAATCCCGAAGTTGATGATGGAGCAGAACCGATAGACATTCCTATCCAAAAAATTATAACTCATCAATCCTACAGTAAAATAACTCATGCAAATGACATAGCTTTGTTGAAGCTAGACCGTCCAGTTCTTTTCAACAGTATGTATTATAAATAAACTGAACTTTTCATCTACGGTTAGTTTTTTATTATAAACATATTTGTTTAAATTAAAATGTTAGTATTGAAATCGTTGCTTTCATTTGATTACTAAGGAAAAGTATTATATATTTTTTTCTAGAACACGTTCAACCCATTTGTTTACCTATATCTCCAACAATGAGAGCAAATACGTTTCTGAAGTATGAACCTTTAGTTATAGGATGGGGAATGATAGCAGTTGGTACGTCTTAAAACAATGTTTCTTTAAGATAGCAAAATATTACATTCAAATGCTTTTATAGAGGGGCCAATGACAAGGACCACTGAACTAATGCAGGTTAATGTACCAGTTGTCGATAATGAGAACTGCAATCGTTCATATACAGGGATTCGCGCTATTATAGATGATTCCATTATATGTGCAGGAACAGGGAAAGCGGATTCATGTAAGGTATATTGATTTAATTAATAGTATTTCTCATTCGATTAAATAAATGAACGATGATATTTCAGCAGTGAGCAATTTTTATTTTATTCTCAAAAATTACATTCAAGTAAATTATGTACTTAGATATAATTTTCAATACTATTACTTTCGTCTTATTTATATTATTTATAACTTAACTTTTTTAATCAACAACCCATTTATCGCCAATTGTCATCATAGCCAACCAACTCCGTCTCACTTGGATATACCTACTAACCAACTGTACTAGGATTCAGGTCAGACGTATTGTATATTACATATAACTTATATTTACTGAACATCTAGAATATAACTTTACTTTGTCGTTGACATAAAACAATAGTCTAATTGTATTTAATAATCTATCCACTGTAACTAAGGTACACGATTGCCTGTGTCTCCTTCAGGTAATTAAAACTCATTTAAGGAGATAGGGACGATATTTGAGCAGTCGTCGGGTAGCTTCCGATTCTTGGTTTTGACCAAGATCCTCAAGTATTAAACTAGTCCCTAACAAATGTATAGATACAAGTACAAAATTATTTTTATTTATTCTACTTTATGTATAACAATATAAAACAAGCGAATTAGTAAATTTAAAATAACTTAGCATAATATATATGTAATTAAAACTAAAAGTTTAAATAGACAATAAGATATTACAGTGAAAAATGATTATTCGGTGTGATCATATTTCGAAGAATGTTATACGATCGTATATGAAAATTACAACTTTGTTTTTTTTTTATAAAACATTTATTTATTAATTTTAAATATAACAGTCAGAATTTAACATCCATTAACCGCTTTCCCTATTTAATTTGAAAAATGTAATACAGGTATTTTTATAATTAAATATTTTTAGGGCGATTCTGGCGGACCATTGATGTGGCCAAAAGGGAAACAGCATTACTTACTTGGCATCGTATCAACTGGTTTTAAATGTGCAGAATCAGGTTTTCCAGGATTATACACTAGAGTATCACATTATATTGAATGGATAACAGAGAATATGAATAAAAATTAGACGGAGATATAGTGATTTTTGCAAGATCATAATATTAATTTTTTGTATTATTTTACAATAAAAAATAAATGATACCAGTTTATTTAACTGACTAAAATTGTATGATGAATTTGTTTTTTTAAATACATATTTTAAACGAATTATAAAACATTGTACTTAATAAATAATAAATACAAAAACAATAATACATGAATGTAATTAATTTTTTTCTTTATTTACATATAATAAAATTTCCGTTGAACAACGAAAGCCAAAACCAATAGTTTTAATATACAATTCAATATATTAATGGCACAGTAGTTCATTTTTATAAAAAATATTATTTTATTATAAATACAATTAATATAAAAGATTATACTGACACGGCTTACGTCGTAACAATATAATCGACACTAGTTTTGAGGGTAAAGACCTTTAGTACTAATTGCTAATAATTTGTTTACACCTTTAATATTAATTTCTTCTAATTGTTTCACACCTTTAGTACTAATTGCTACATATTTGTTCACACCTTTAGTACTAATTGCTACATATTTGTTCACACCTTTAGTACTAATTGCTACTAATTTGTTCACACCTTTAGTACTAAATGCTACAAATTTGTTCACACCTTTAGTACTAAATGCTACAAATTTGTTCACACCTTTAGTACTAATTGCTACTAATTTGTTCACACCTTTAATACTAATTGCTACTTGTTGTTTCAAACCTTAGTACTAATTGATATAAATTTGTTAAATAAAATTACTTATTTGAAAAATTGAAAACAATTTTTGAAAAATATACATTTTACGTATTCCTCGCTTCCTGTTCTGTAAAGGTTCGTTTAAAGGACTTGAAGCTCTGACTGCTCTTTTGAACTCTCCTTTATCTGTTTTGCTACCCCTGTAATGTTTTCATTTTCTAGGAGTATCACTGAAATTCCACCAAGTGTCCATTGAAGTAGAAGTATGTTTTTTTCCTTCAGTAGAACTAAATCATCCTTTTTTGGAACAACTCCTAATGATTTTTTTTTTCCATTTCTTACGATATTGAAGAGTAGATAAGTATTCAGTTTTTTATCTAATTTCATGGAGCTTTCCCATAGGTCGCTGAAATGTGGTCTGCACGCGGGAATAAAACACCATTTGAAGCCCAGAGATGCAGAACAGTGGTTCACAGTTTCTACATGTTCCTTGGATTTAAACAGTTCTAATAATTCCTTTAACTTTCTATCAACAACGACAATATTTGTAGCGTTATCTGAATACATATATTTACTTGGTCTTTTGTGGGCTCATAATCTTTTTAAAGCACTTAGAAATTAATCCGTCCTTAGATCACCGACTAGCTCCAAAAGGACCGCTTTCGAAGAGAAACAAACAAATAAGTAAATGTACGCCTTTACCATCGGCGAGTTTTTTCTAAATCCACTTTTTATCATAATTAGCCCAGTATAGTCTACTTCAGTCGCAAAAAATGCACGTTCGAACGCATCAACGCGTCAGCTCGGCAAATTACTCATAATAGAATGGTATAAGTACGGCTTCGATCGAAAACAAGCGACACATTTGTTTACAGTGAATATGGCAATGTTTCGCCTGTTCAATGCCCAGTATTTTTCGCGTAAAGTCGATAACAACGCTTGTGGTTGAGCGTGTAGCAATTTTATGTGCTCATATTCGAAAATTAACTTATAACTTGTTAGTTAAATTGGACTTCAACAGTACTAGTGTTGGATTTTTTTTTTGTCACAACTCACGATAAACAAATTATTTAGTCAGCCACTAACGCGTATTATTTGCTTCTCGTCTAAAAATACATTTAATTTATTGAGTTGACTGCGACCACTAATAAAGACACCTTTTTGCAAGCATGTTATTTCTTTGGCAAAATTATTTTTCAATACAAGCCTGGCCGTACGATATTCATGTGCTTCGGAAAACACGTATATAAACGCACACATCAAAAGCTTTTTCGTTAGTGTCAAGAGTTTTGATAGCATCGTCACCTATGATCATTGTGCGCATTGTATTATTTATTCGATGCGAAGCTGAGAAAATATTAATTTTACTATGATATGTTTTTGTGTCTGTTACCACTTATTCTTAGTTCTCAATGGACCGATTTTGATGAACAAAATGTCAAAAGATCACAAATCGTATCTAGTCGAAGACATTACCTTCAAAAATTTGAAAAAATTCCTTCGTTCCTCGTAGATATAGAAAATCCCCCCAAAAAAAACAATTCTAAAAATCAGTAATTTTGACATTTTTCAACTTTTTGAAAAATAGATGAATAGAAACAAAACATTTTTTTATAAATACATTAGGTATTTACCTATCATTTGATATATATTTTTTGAATATCTGACCCTTTACCTGCCCACAGGGGGGATTTAAAATGATAACTTTTCCACAAAAAATTAACTTTTACAACTTAACTTTAGTAAATGTTCCGGAAATACGAATATTTTTTATATATCTTAAATTAAAGCGTATGTAATGTAATTTAATATGAAAAAAAAATTTCGAACTTTAGATTGTCTTAATGGTGAAACTGGTTTTGATGATCAACATGTTTAAAGAATCCAATTTTAATGTAGTTGAACTAAATCACTAAAGTATTGAAAAAATCACCTTAAGTTTAGAAATTTAGACAAATATTTCAAAATGAAGTTACCGTAAAAATGGCCTTTTAATATTATTGTATATTTGACACTGTAATAAAAATATATATAATAAATAACTTAAAATAGTACAATAAAAATATTATATTTATTGCATCCATTGTAACACGATATAAATTAAATTTTTGTTTAACGAGATTAAAGTAGTGATAAGCAATGAAAACAATGTGGATATTCTTATTATGATAAAAATAATCAAATAATTTCGGCTATGAGTAAAATAAACCAAATTTCTCTCAATCTTGAAATGTTTCTCATTATCGACTATTGTGTCTGTCAATTAATAAACATTATTATAAATTTAATATTTGAATTAGTATATTTTAAATTTCAATAATTGTAGGTATACATTGTATACTATTGTTGAAATATGTATGTAATGTTTGTTTGCTATATACGCATTACATAGTAGTACATAATATTAGTAATTTCAGTCAGGCACGGGGATCCAGCTTTCGTTAACGGAAGGAGCAATTTAAAAATGTAGTTATATGTAGTGTCCCACCATGTTCTGATATCTATAATAACTTATGATCTAGTGAATATTTTGCATTACTTTTTTTTACAGTTTTGACTACGTTAAAAATATATTTTTTATTCAATAAAAATTGATTACTTTAGTTTTTTTTAAATTTAAAACAATAATTTATAACTTTTAAAAAAATAATTTGATGGGTCCATAAAACTTTAGGATAAGTACTATTTAGTTACAAGCATTTTAACACATAGATTAAGTATACAATGTATATTTAATCTATGTGTGAAAATATATGTCATATAGCGCGCAAGGAATATGCATTATAAACCAGTATGAGATGTACGCAACTTAATACATAGAATATTTTTTTATAAAGAGGGAAATAAATTTAACCACTCCGAGTTTTATTTTTATTTGTATTGTTTCAATGTAGTACACGAGCTAAATACTTAAAATTCGCAAATTTGAAGTTAGAGGGGCTCAAGGGCACCAACCGTGGACATTGCTTTAAATTATTTTGAAAAAAAACGTTTACATTCTAATTATAACAATAAAAAACTGCAAAATTTTTATATTTAAAAAAAAAAAAATTCACTATAAATTTAATTTATAATTACAACAACTATTATTTCGAGTTATATTCTTGTGAAGAAAAAAATTTTAATTTATTTTATTATTATAAAAATGTGTAGGGACCTTAAATTTTTTGACTACAGTGTGATTAATGTAATTCCCTTAGTTTCCTAAATTAAAGAAAATGTTGACAGAATTTAAACTTAATGGTATTTTTTTTAAAGAATAGAACNATTAATGTAATTCCCTTAGTTTCCTAAATTAAAGAAAATGTTGACAGAATTTAAACTTAATGGTATTTTTTTTAAAGAATAGAACTCTTAAAATAAATTATACAATTAAAATTTTTAGTAAACTTTTTACTAGTTTTTCTCAAAATCATTGTATAATAAAGATAGTTCTTGTGTTAATTCGTATCCTAGTGAAAAATAGTTATAAAATAAAAATTTTGAATTAATATATAAAATTACACAAATTATAATGCTAAAGAATATAAATTCTGTACCACAAAATAAAAATAAAAATTAGTATTTAAACTTTGAAATAAATTTCAAACAAATACTCTTTGTAGATATTTTAATTTATTTCATTTTTCCTATTATCCAATCTACATAGTATGTTACTCTAGTAAATACACCAGGGAAACCTGGCTCTACACATTTATATCCAAACGAAGTAACACCAATCAAATAATACTGATTTTCAATTGACCACATCAATGGACCACCAGAGTCACCCTAAAAAATAATTTTAGAATGTTATATAAATTAGACTGTGTTAAATCAATGGCCTGTAAGGCCGTTGTTATTGAAAAAAATGAATTAAATACACATATATAAATACAGGTGTCCTAACAGGTTTTGATATCTTTAATAACTTTTACATAATAATTTACATAGTAAATATTTTACATTTTTTTTTTAACAATTTTTACAATTTTGAACTACATTAAAAGTGCATTTTAACTTCGATGCGAAGCTGAGAAGGTATTGGTTTTATTATGATTTTTATAATAGTGATATTAATCACTGTCAGATATCTACTTATCCCAACTATATCGCGACCCCACTGCTATTTATTATTATTATTTGTTTTTAATAAATAATAATAAGACGAAAGTTTTTAATTTTTATTGAAATTTCAAAATCGTCATTTTTCAACTGTTTTATCATAAAAAAATATTGTTGGGTTGAATAAATATTTATCCTATAAAAATTATTGACCCATCTAAATTTTTCGTTAGAAAAGTGCTTAAAAAATGACTATTTAAAATTTTTTTTTACAAGAGACGAATAATAAAAAATATGCTAAATTCTAAGGTAATCCAAAATTGTAAAAATTATTTTAAAAAATGAATAAAGCAAAATATTTTCTAGATCAAATTTTTTTTAAAATGTCAAAACTTTGTGGGAACCTGTATATAGGATTACTTTTTTAATAATAGCCATTTAATTTCTCTTAAAATAATAATTATATTAAGAAAAAATGTATTTGGTATACATGGTTTTAATTTTATATATTTCTAGACTTATTAATTATTAAAAATTGTTTTTATTCATCCATAATGTGTTATGGCAACATGCATAATTAACTAACATATAAATCTAAAACCGATCTAATTAAGAAAATGATTGATCGATAACTGCTTTAAAATGTGTACTTCAGAAGTTTAACCTTTAAAAATATAGAATGGAGGAAAAGGGCGTCAGGGTAATGCTTAATGATAAAAATAATATAAACCACACTTTATTTCCATTCTATATTTTAAAATAGTTGTAACTGTTTAAATGAGTCAAAAGTTGTTACCGACCAGTCATTTTCGTAATTAGGTAATTTTTTATTTTATAAGCTAATTAAATATGTATGTTGTCATTTAGAAAATTATTTTAACATATTTATAATGTATCCTATAATCATTTTGTTGAAATTTTTTAAAAATAATTATTGTCAGTACTTTTTAGCACTTTAAAGTTTTGAAATAGGTACTAGTTTTTTTCTTATTACAGTATTAAAAGGAATGTAATCTGCGATAAGCTTATAAAAAAGGAAATAGATCGTTTTCGGATTTTCCAACAATTACATGTAATGTAAGACAAATTGTGGTAAACGTTTTAAATAGTAAACTATTCGATAATTAAATAATACTTTTATAATACTGTCCATTAAAATAATATCGCCAAATGGACCACTTGCGGCGCTAATTAAATTTGGGACAACTAAATATTTTACAAATTTCATTACTCAATTTTTGTGAACAAATATTTTACGTATCTTAACTATACTTGTAAACATTTTACTAGTGCTGTAGATTGATTTGGTTGAAATGATTATAGATATTTAAATAACCTGAGTTTAATCACAGTTTGGAATTAGCCTATTTATTGACAATAATAAAATTTAACAACTATCATAAAATAAGATTTATTTTATCAAGTACTTAACAGTAGTAGTACTTGGTAAATTGTGAAACATATAATATAAACTTATGATTGGCTAAACAGCAAACGGCTTTTGGAGTATAGTAATTATAAGTTTAAATTTCACTATGAATTTTAAAGATATTGACCAAAAAATTGTATTGTTAAATCATTAATTTGTATTATTACTAGTTAGCATTGTATTAAATTTTTGCATGAAATATTTTTTATTTTACGTCAATACTGATATAATTAATTTTTAAAACATTGAATCATTGAAAAGTTATTTACTGCTTGTATAAAATCCATCAATTAATATGTCGTAGTTAACATAATGTATATTTCAGAATTTGTGGCAGTCTACATTATGCATGTTTCTAAATTAATTGTATTTTATATTCTGTACGATTAAAAAATGGGTTAATTTTGTCTCAGTTAATTATCATAAGTACCATCTTCCATTAAAAAATACTTACTTTTGCAATAATGAACTTATTATAATAACAATGACGATATCGTCAACATACAAAAAATATCTGGATGTGAAATTCTATCGTTGCCTAACACTACTATTAACTCCATAATATAGAATTAATAGTGTTAGACAACGATGCAATGAGATTAATTGAATGAATATATTATATTAATTCAATTAATTGATATTTAATAACACACATTAAGAAAATTATTTGAAAAAGTCTCTTTTGAAATATCATATAAAATAACAGTTTATCATATGAAGTTAAAAATGTAATTTTACATTAAATATAATTCATAAGCTTACCTGACAAGCGTTTTTAGGTTCAGTTTTATATCCAGCACACAGTACTCTATCATCAATTATCGCTGTTTTATTCTTGTAAGCAGTTTTACAGCTAGCATTTTCAACGACAGGTATTTGAGTTTCAAGCAACGCGTTGCTCGAAGGGCCACCTAAATCAATAAAGATATTAATGCTTGTGTAGACAAATATGGATCTCTAATGTCTTACGAAATTCGGTAGCCCCCCATCCAGCAACAAACGGTACAGTTTTTATAAAATTCATAACTCTTATTTTAGGGTCGATTGGTAAACAAATAGGCTGAATAAATTCTAAAAAATAATATCAAATCAATTATTTAAGATTATTTTCAAATTAAAAAATATTTACTGTTAAATTCTACAGAATTATTTAATTTTAATAAAGCAATGTCGTAAATAAAATATTTTGAATTGTACAATTCATGATGGATTATGTCATCAATAGGAACATTAATAGGATCAGCTCCATCATTGACTTCGGGATCCAAATTCAAATCTCCTAATCGAACCACTGATCTAATATAAATAAAATTATTCATTATAATTTAAAATATCTCGTCTCAAAACTGGTAATTTAACTAGATGAGTTTGATGACAAATGTATTATTTTTAAAATATTCAAATTAAAACATAAAATTTTATAAACAATATAAATGAATTGTTTAATGAACTAACGTATTTGAAAAATATTTAATGATCAACCGTTTTATTAAAATTTTCAAGAATATCATATATTTTAGCTTATGCTTTATTTGTAAAAAAAGGTATGTTTTAAATATTAATGAAGAATTTTTTTCTTCTTATGATATGCATAAATATCAGCTCAACTGTATAAAAATTGTTTTTTTAATTTCAAGCTTACTTGAGACCTTCTAGAAATATACCATATAATGACGTTAATTAGGATATACACACTATCAATTTTCGACTTTTTTTGGTATACTAATCATAATATTTGACCAAAAATTGAATAACAGAAGCCGTTTTTTTTTTTGAAGAGGGGTTAATTTTGGTAAAAGTACTAAAAACACGTTGAATACTAGAAAATTTTTTTTTTTAAATCTCAAATTTTTAACAAAATGTCTTATTTAATGTATATAATAAAGTTAAGAGTTCTCATTAAAATTCTGATGAATGACTTGTTTCGATCCACCATAATTTATATAAATAAATAACATGTTGATTACAAAAAAAAACTTTTTTTAAGAGTAGTTTTTAGGGTAACTTTCGAAAGTTAAAATGATTTCATTTATTATTATATTTACATCATTTAATTAAGAATGAATTAAATATAATTTTGACTGGTCGATAATCAGTTTCATAACACTACATTTTAAGTTATTAGCATTTAAAGATTTAGAAAAGACGAGGATTGGCATTAGTGTTAAGCGACGCTCAATTTTTACTAAAATATACTGATAAGAATATTACTTTACGCATTTCTCCGCTTATAACTTAAAATAATAATAATTAAAAAAGTAATAGTACAAAATTGATTATCGACCGGTCAAAACTTTATTTTATTTATTCATTATTAAATGGTTTAAAAAGAATTATACGCTCTTATCTAACTTTCAAGAATTAACCTAAAAACTTCTCACAGAAATTTTTTTTTTTTTATAATCTTGACATTTATTATGGGTCATAAAAATAAATCAAATTTTACTCTGTATATTTTTATGCAAAATCATTATTGAACCAAAAAAATTACTGGTGGTATTCTTAATAAATCGCATTATAGTAATACTATCTACTTCGTTAATATTATTATTAATAATAAAATGATTAATTATTAATCATTTTATTAACTACAATAGTCACTTTACTTAGTATAAGTATATAATGATTAAAATTATAAATTAAACAATTTATTTTATAAACATTGTATTAGTTTTTAAAAATATGAATTTTTAATTATTACTGATTATTTTCAGTATAATAGATATTGGATTTTTGCTTACTTTATAAGAGATTTCGACTTACAGTTCTCTCTCGCCGATATTTACTGTACAATGCGCAGCTGTTACAACGTATTTGTGGGAGATTAAGCTACCACCGCACATCCATTTAGGTGGGCTCGATGTTGGTTTATCAAAATCACGGTATCCTAAGGCAACAATCCATGGCCAATCGCCTAGAATAAAATATTAGGAAATAATGTATTTTTAATTTATTCGTTTTTAATTAAGCTTAACCTAAAGAAGCAGGAACTCCTCCAACGATTCTATTATGAGTACGTATTTCAGTGCGACCACATATAGTTTGTAATGTAGCATTTGGAAATAATAACATTGAATTACTGGTAGAATGTTGTGGTATTAAATTATTTGGTTTTAAAGTCGTCATTGAACCAATATTATTCCCGTGAATGTCTGGAACACTGCTATTTTTTGGTGGTTGTATAATTACTGGGCAGCAAACTTTTGGATCTCTATTTTCGTAACCACATGTTGAATTTCGTAGTAAAATAATACTTGTATTATTTAATCTATTATTTAATAAATTAAATAAAGTAGGACAACTTTTAATATTGATACATTCTCCTGTTTCATTTTTAGGTGTAAAACAAGCTGAAAATAAAAAATTTATAAAATTAATACTTTATTTTTAATAAACAAAACTTAATTAAAAATAAAATAACACGCCAATGTTATTATAAAAATATTTTAATACATCTAGTAGTATACAAAAATAATAAATATTAAAAATCTCACGAATACATTATACAAATGTTTCTAGTAAAAAATACAGAAAGTAAACATCAATTAAAACTAGGGATGTTTTTCTAAAGCCGATACGTAAATATTAGAAATTATGAAGAAAAAATTAAAATTTCAATTGTGTCATACAAATTAATGTTTTTGAAGTGCAAGTAAAAAACTTCACAATAAATTGAATTGTTTTATTTTAGTAAACAACAAAACAAATTTATACATATATGGAAATCCAAAAAACTTATTTTTGTGACTTTTTTGAATGAAACCTACAGAATCATTTATTGCTCCAACGATATGGGAAGGGGTTTACAATCCCAAATTAAACTCCTAGATACTTCAATGCTCTTTGCGAACAAAATTATGTTGTTCTTAACAAACTTATTATTAAAATATATCAACATGAGTTATTGTTTTCTTCAGAAAAAGAACTACTATGAAAAATTAAAAATTCATAAATTTATATTTGTCAATAATTTTGCGCTTCCTTATAAAAAACATACTTGACATAAATACAAATATATCTCATTTAGAATTTTAGCCTTAACGTACTTACCATTTTCATTCCGCTTTTGTATTGCTTCTTCAAAAAAATATATAAAAAAATACACACAAAAAATAACTTTCATGTTAAAAGAGTATATTTTGTAATTTACGCATTGGTAATAAAATATCTGATTATAATACTATGATAAATTACAATAATAAACAATTATCTAAGCATTAATTAAGACATTATTTCTTGATGACCTATAAATTAAATAATTGTAAGTATTACGGTTAAATTTTTCCTATTTAATTTTTAATAGATAACTATATTGTTTTATAAATGTAAGTAACAAAACCTCATCGAACGACACCTAATGATAATCTGATTATAGTACTAGTGCGAACATAAAAATATTTAAAAAGAGAGATGGTATGAAATCATATGCAAATGGTTGAATGTATGCAATAAAGTGAAAACCTCAGTTTACTGTATTCTATAACAGAGTGTTGTTTCGAAATGTGCGGTCGTAAACTTATGGTTTTTTGTAAAAACGTTTGAAAATTTATAAGAGAACACCGTTTTAAAATAACATAAGAGCCAAGATTTTTTACTTTTATTTATTTACAGTATTGAACATTTTATAATAAATTAGATATATCAAATTGTAGGTATTCATGTTATAAGTAAGTAGATGTGTATAATATCATTATATTGAAACATCATATTGGTTACCTGCAACCTAATTTCGAACACACTTTATATTATTACTATAATTTTACTGTTAATAGAAAAGTAGGAATCGGTCATTAATACTAGGTAATGATATTATTAACATACTTTCATAATAGAAACATAAGAAATAAGTCAGAAAAATTCAGGATTTGTAATATGGTTTTTATTTGTGTATATACATAGAAATAATGCAAGTAATAAAATGATAAGAGTAATTTATAGTAACAACATAAACAATACCAAATTTAATTAAAAAATCTTTCTTGCGAATAAACTGAATAATACAAAATAATTCATAGCTTTGCGTCAGAGCTCAAAGAAAATATTATCAAAATTAAATAATTCGTTAAATTTATCAATAAGTTAAAATGGATCAAAAGTGTTAAGTTTCCCTCCTCATTATTTTATTATTTACATTTAAAAAATGAATATATTCTTAAAGAGGAAAAAAATATTTATTTATAAATCATATTTAAAACTATTTATTCAAAAATACTTATATCAATCAATAATTTTATTGAAGACAATTTTTAAACATATAATTATAAATTTATATGACGCACATTTAATTATTAATTTTTAAAACAAAGAAAAACTATTTATTTATAAATAATTTTCATTTACAATGAAGTTGACAAATCATAAAAACAAATTGTACCTTTTATTGTTGTGGATGTGTCATTATTAACATTGAAATACGATATTAGATTTAATAAATAAAATAAAGAGTAACCTAACTTATCTTCAATTAAATTATACAAAAACTGCATTGAATAAATTCTAAAATACCAATCGTTATTGAATTAAATTTGTTAACACAAAAATCTTGTTTATTGAATAGGTTAGGTATTCAGTCCTTTAAAATTAATAGTGATATGTATTATCGACCGAATACTATTAAACTATTCGATAGTCTAAAACTATCGATTTATTCTGTTGTTTTCGAATAAAATTGACAGAAACGAATGTTTTTCCATGGTATTTAGTTGTTGAACTATAAATATCTTATTTTAATAAAATTTACATGACTTTTGACTATCGAACTCTTAAGTAAATTATACGGTAGTTTATATTCGAATAGTTTTTAAAAGCTATCGAATATATTGGATAGTCAATACCATTCAACAGTGCCCATCACTAAAAATTAAATTATAGCTCTTTATCAAGTTAAAAGTTTCTGACCTTGAGTGTTTTATTTTTTATAATTTTTCATAAACATTCTATTAAACCTGTATAAAACCGGAAATGAGTGCCATCAGATATTTGTATATAAAATCTCATTTCATTATTTTATTTTTATTATAAGTTAATCCTTACCTGGTTAAGATAAATTGTATGAATTATTAGTTTTTATATCAAATTCTAATGGTTTTGAATGTTTCATTTGAAAATAAATGTGATTGAAATCATCAGTTAAAGTTGGTACTCGTCTTAAATGGAATTACTTCGACATGTATAATGAATCATAATCATTTTTATTAAAACTCGTTGTGAATAATTGATACACTATGTTGTTGTTTAAAATTTGTCTAGTGTAAATCCTGAATTATTCTTAACACTTCATGGGTTTTGCCCAATACGATAATGCTCATTGAATTATATTATTTCTGTTAAAAATTATTATTTATGTATTTTTCAGTTGGTAAAAAATGCGTTTAACATACATTTTGACGATATAATTGAAAAATTTTCTGAACAAAAAGTTTAAATTTTGTGAATTATTCGTTACAAGTTATCATTTATTTATGTACATATAAATGACTAACAATCAATATATTGTTATTTCTAATAATAAAGTAGGATTAAAATAAAATAAAAATTGTTTTTGTTGTTAATTTAATTATTTTATTTTTTCATATAAAACATAAATATGACGAGGAATAACTCGGCAAATTTGTGTACGATACCCCTTCTAGTGCCCCAAAAATCGGGAGTACAGATGTGCAATTCACACTGATCTTTTGACCAACTTACATTTAAAAGGAACCGATTATATATTAATCTCTGAAAAGGGGGCACATTGGCACATGAGTTCCTAGCTTAGTTGTTGCTGTACTACACCTCGTTTTCAAAAATTTGAAGGCTACAAATCCTTTATATAATTTAATACATATATATTTTAATATAGTTTCGACATTATTGGTAACTAATTTCTTTTTTTTAATAAATGATCATTTCTGAGCTCAACGGCGATAATTTTTTTGAAAGGGGATCATTTAGTAAATCAGGATCTTTTAAAATATCCGCCAAAAAATGAATATATAAAAGCCATTAAAACGTAATTTGAATGAGTCAATTAAACCCTCTTCTCGTGGCGATTCTTGGTTTATAATAATACTTTAGTAATTCAAACGAAAAAAATAACCGGACTATTGTAAGTACCAGACCACACACCTCTTGACTACCTAAATCTGATTCTTCATAATCGTTGCGTCTAATAAAATTTTACAAAAAAATTTTTCTTTTATAAAGTTATATTATGAATACCAGTAGCATTGTTCTTATAGATTAATGACATGTAAATTTGGTTTTTATATATTAAATTTATAGACACCTAACTTTATAAATAACACTAGCGAAAAATCTTTTATTTATAATTTGTATTCTATGATGACTAAATGACTTATTATAATAATATTTTGAAGGATGTTAATTGTATTTCTTTCCTACCCTAAAAAACACAATAAACGTATATAAACTAATCGTGCTTATGGCGAGGCTTCTGAAAAAGCAAAGTTAATCATCTCTCGCCCACTCCAACATTGGGTTAGTTGAGCGTACAATAAAACTAAATCTTTAAAAAATTATTTTATAAACAAATTCTGCGGACATTTTTGCTAAAAGGCCTAAAATATATTTAAAATAATGACAAAGCTACAATATTTCAATTAATCAATTATATTTATAAAAATAATTGATTAAATTTCTTACTATAGTAAGTAAATTTAAGAAGAAAAATATTTATCAAATATTTAAAAATATACGAAATTATATTAGAGACCAATACAGCTAATCAAAGAAATAATTTTTTTTCAGTTCAACACTATGAAATAAACAAAAATTTAGACATTTACTCCCCTTTGAAAAGTATGTACTGTTTATTTCATTAGATGTCCACAAAAACCAAATTGATGTAAATACGATCGATATGTGATTTTAGAAATTTTGTTGTCACTTAAAAGTATTTTTTACACATAGTCTATTCGAAAATGCAGTTGGAGATATACAAATAGATAATTGAAGAGTGAATGTGTCAAACGTTCTATGTGCCAAAAACATATTTGTTCAGAAAACAAAAAACAATGGTAACATGGGCATGTCTCACATATCGAACACCATCTATGAATGCAATTTTGTACAAGTAAAAAATTTAATTGATATTTGAAACACATACAAGATTGTGGCCTTTGGCACATAGAACGTTTGACACATTCACTCTTCAATTAATGCTGTTACCATGTGTTACCACTTAATAATAAAATGTTAAATATTTCGTATTATGGTGTCCAGTTTTAACGAGTGCGTTTCTAAAATTTGCTTAGCGAATATTTAACTTTGTTAATATTTTTTATTGTTTATAAAAAAAAATAATTTAAAATTTTAACCTGTCATAGATCAAATTAAAAATAGGGATTATCATTAAAAAAAATGAAAATTTAAGTTTTTTTTTTTTTTTTGAAGAAAAAAAGCATAGTGTTAGCTACGTAGTATTGGAAAGTTATTTAAACCTAATAAATTTTCTTTTTATAAGAATTCTCAGTAGTCTAAGAAAATGAGTGTCTTACCGAATTTTGTTTATTCTGTATATATATATAAAGTTGCCTATAGAAATATCGAAATCGTGAGCGTAGCGATAGAACATTTTTTTTTAATTATGTTTGTTCCCTTTTAAAATATTAAATATAATGTTATTTTGTTAAATCTCATTAATGTTAAATGTACCTCACAAAATATTAAAATATACCACTTAAAATATTTAAGCAATTTTATTAAAAAATCTTATCAATATTGAGTATGTAAAAATAATTTAGACTAGTTATTAGAGTTAAAATCTAATTATTCATAATTTATTACAATTAACTTGTTAGAACAAATTTTTTTTATCATTAACTTAATTATACATATTTTTAACAACCATTTGTTTTAATGTTCATAGTTCTATTATTTAATGTTACAATGGGAAACACAAGATGTTTACTTACATTATTGTTCATGATAAATACAGTATTAGCTCAATCAAATAATCAAAGTAAGTAAATGTCATACTATACTAGAATGACATGAAATGTTAAGCATTAAAATACAAATGTATAATTTAAGTGGTTTTTAGTTTTACATTTGTAACTATTATTAAGAATATTTTCAGCTCATTTTTATTTAATATTTTATAGTATAAAAAAATTATATTCACATAAAATTGGCATGAATAATCAAATAAAAAAAATTAGATGATAAAATTTTTTTAGTTAAAGTAAGTTTAACTTAGAACTGTTATTCATTTTTATAGATTCTTGTATCAACCCGAATAATGAAAATGGTATTTGTCTCAATATTAAACAATGCCCAGCATTGTTATCTATACTTCAAAACAATAGAAAGAATAATACAGCTATAGCCTTTCTTCGGAGTTCTATGTGTGGAAATGAAGGCAGAGATCCAAAAGTTTGCTGTCCAAGGAATCCTGTATCATTTGGTGGTTCAGTGACTTCTTCAAAGTTACCCTCTCAAAGTACATGTGGTGTTTCATATGGTAATGTCAATAAAATTGTTGGTGGATGGCCTGCTGAGTTAGGTTTGTTACAATAATTTAATAATGTTCTTTACTTTTTTTAGTAGTTCTTATTTCTAATTTTGATAATTTTAGATGATTGGCCATGGATGGTTGCTCTAGGATATCATGGACTCAATCAGCCTAAAACAGAAACTCCCCAGTGGAGATGTGGTGGTTCATTGATTTCTGATAGATACGTAGTTACAGCTGCTCATTGTTTAGTTAAGATTGGACCAGTAGAAGTGTAAATATTAATGATATTTATATCAATATTTACTGAAATGAAACTTATGAAGTGTTTTATTTTTATAAGATCTGTTGCGCGACTAGGTGAACTAGATTTGGATCCCAATACCGACGACAAAGCCGAACCGATAGATATTCCAATCCAAAAAATTATAACTCACCAATCCTACAATTCAAAAACTCACGCTAATGACATAGCTCTGTTGAAATTAGATCATTCTGTACAATTCAACAGTAAGCTTTATAAACAAACTGAAGTTTATATCGTTTTAAACGTATATAATCAGTTATATTAAATATATATTTGTTTTCACTTAAAATTTATTATTTTAATCTACACTTTTATTTGATGATTAATTATAATTTCATAGAATTTTCAATTTTTAGAACACATTCAACCTATTTGTTTACCAATAACTCCAACAATAAGAGCAAACAAATTTGTAAAATATGTACCTTTCATTGCGGGATGGGGAACCACAGCATTTTGTAAGGCCATTAGTAGAAGTTGAGTTATCAAGAAAACAAAATAATAAATCAAAATGTAATTTTTAGATGGCCCAACTAGCACTGCACTTATGTCAGCTGCAGTACCAATTATCGACAATGCTAGATGTAATCGTTCTTATACAGGACATAGTGCTGTTATAGATGACTCGGTATTATGTGCAGGAACGGGTGAAGCTGACTCTTGTCAGGTATAATGACTAACACTTTTTTTGTTTTTAATGTGAATAAATATCTACGAAAGTTTAAGTTCTATGAAGTAATTATTTTTTTTGTAATCTTTTTAAAATCTATTAAACAGTTTATTATTTATCTATTGAAACCCTCTGTTCAAAATTTCATAACCTCAAAAATTGGTTTACAAAAAGAAAATTTAAAAAATCAACTTATCCACTTTTTTTATAAAAGATTACTTATTTTAAATTTACCTATTTAAGAATATTTATTTGTGATCAAATAAATAGAATTCTTCCCAAAATCATTTCAATATAACAAAAAATTTGAATATTCCTAAAAGTATTCTATATTTATTATTGAAGTGTGATTAATTCAGAACTTCTGAATAAATTTTAATTTAATAGAAAGTTTTTTAAACTTTCAAACTACTATAATTATATAGAAATATAATTATATAACAGATCAGTTCTATAGAAATTTTGTTACTCTATATTAATTTTTTTTATTTGTATGGATTTATAATACTTATATTTAAATTATAATTATATAATTAAAAAAGAAAAATCATATTTTATAATACTTTTGACATTTAGGGTGATTCAGGTGGTCCAATGATGTGGCCTAATGGAAAACAATATTACTTGCTTGGTGTTGTATCATTTGGTTTTAGATGTGCAGAACCAGAATTTCCTGGAGTATACACTAGAGTATCTCATTTTATAGAATGGATTATAGAAAATATGAACAATAGTTGAAATGGACAATTTGGTAAAACTATTTAAATTATCAAACTACATGATTTTTTGATCTTATACTTTCTATTTATAAAAAGTTTCATGTAAGCTACAACATAGAAAAACTTTTGACACTGGAATGTCTGAGTGAAATTTAGATATTTCAGCACTTACTCTAATGATTAGTTATTTTATCCAGGAAAATAACCATGTTGATACTCATATACTGAACAGTATTTTAACTTACTATTTCTATTTTCTATTTTATTTAACAATTTTTTTTTTTTTAATTCCATTATTTAATTTTAATATATATATATACATATAATGTAGAATTTTTTTTTTATTAAATTTTTATATTTGTATGTAACTAACCTTGTATTTTAACAAATATATTGAAATATGAATAAAAATAGTTATTTTTGTATAACCCAATGTAGACAAATATTTTTAATTAGATACTGATATTGAATTTATATAAAAATAACTAAATTATCCATTAAAACTCATTTTAAACATTCTTCTTTCAACAAAATCATAGATTATAATTATTTTAATAGATTTATTTATTTTTAAAATAAAAACATTGAATTAAATTAAAAATAACTAATAGAACAGTGTTTTTTAATTATTACATTAAAAAATTGATCATTGGAAAATAAAATAATAATTAATATTTTAATGAACTATGGTTTTAATCATGTGATTGACTTGTAATTCCTATAAACTGTATCAGTTTAACCTTTGACTATGAAAGTAAAACATTGATATTATAACTTTTATCTTTACATTAGTTTTCAACATTCAGTTGCATTCTAATTGTGGAATATTGTTTTTGTGTATTCATTTTTCTAAGACTTTCAAATTAATTTACTGTCATTTTTGATAGAAAATGGTTTTGAAAAATGTAGTTATTAAAAAATAACTAATTATTCATTTAAATATTAAAAGTGTAATAATATATTATAGGAATCCTTTTTTGTAACAATAGTTACATTTAGGTTTTAAATTTGTTAACAATAGTATAAGAATAATATAATCTTATTTTGTTATGGCAAATATTCGATGTTTGGTTTTGTTGATATTCATAGTACATTTGTCAAATAGTAATAAAGGTGAGAAATTAAACATCCAATAAATATGTGAATATTTTTTAATTTTTTTATTAAGTCACTTCTAAATATTATCTGACATTAGAGTTAAGACTTGTTAATTTGAAGTTAACCGCGTTTCAAAGTGAACACAGCAATCGTAGACCATTTATCAATTTACTAATTTTAATGAATCTAATAAATGACTAAAAAGCAATATAATTTACATAATAGGTACATGTCCTGGTGTTTGCGTAGCCGAAAGAATTATCGAGTATTGTGAAGCTTTTTTAAATGTATCTGAAATATGTACGAATAACCTTAAATGCTGTGTACCCAAAGAAACATTCGCAAAACACGAAAATTTGATTATTTTAAATAGAAACTCTTCGGCATATAACGCGACCATAGATGATCGTTCAATTTGTCCTGGTCCGTGCATTTTTCCATACTTGTCTTTTATGTGTTTTAGTGAGTTTGATTTTTAGATATAATCAGTGGCGCTACCAAATAATAATTTTGAAAGAGAGATTACTTATTTTTAATGTTTTACTCTGAATCGGTATTTAAGATAACTCGAATGAACAAAAAATGGTTATGACTGTTAAAATATTCAATCGTTACAAGTTATTTTTGGGGGGAGTTACATTCCGTAAAAACTCTCAAGTTGCGCCACTGGAAATAACTTTGAATTTATATTTAAAAAGTGATCAATAAGAATATAATTAAGAAATCAAATATTTACCTAGGAAACGCTGAGATTACAAGTGTATTCAAATGTCAGAATTCGGAAACACAGTGTTGTGCATCTAAAACATTGATACGAAATGCAATTGAACAATAATAGGATCGTAGTTCCTGACAACAAAACAGACAACTTTAATTTAAATTTTATAATTGGGAATGCACTAAAACACTTCATAAACGTACACTTTATTACAGTTATTTCAAATTATGTAATTAAGAGAATAAAATGATAATTTATGTAAATATATATGTGTACAATTAACATACCTATGCTCTTATTACCATTCGTTACATATTCAAAGAACCGATAGTGGTGCTCATTGATTCATAGTGTTCGCGTCTTGCAAATGCTTAATTTTTCATCTCCTTTAAACGTAAAAACGGTAGCACAGTGGGGTCACGGCACAGTATGGAGGTGGCATAGATGGACAAGTATAGATGATATCTGACAGTGATTAAAATCCATAGGCGCCGGAACAATGGGGGCAACTGCCCCCACGGGAAAAATTCT